TCTATTGTGTGGCTTTTATTGTACATCAGAACTACAACTAAAGTTTGACAGTTCACAGAGAACACATTAAATGTCCTTTTACTAATCTTGCCAGTGTAAGACTAGCGTTAGGGCATTGCTGAATCTGGATAAGCCTATTGTGCATGAAGGCTTGTACCATTGTTTTGTCTGCAATGTGTGGCAGTGTACATCACTCAAAGTACATAATAAATAAAAAAGTAAATAATGTCGATTGCTTATCTTGTGTGGCTACAAAGTTAGCAGTGGCTCTAATGACTTTTAAAAGATGTCTGATCACTCGTGTTGGAGTAATGGATGTTTCTTTTTTTGCTGTTTTATTCTGTTTATTACATTTTATATGATATTGCATAAATAGCATACAGTAATAGCTGGTGCTTGTTTATTAAACTCACCTGTCATCAGCTGCCGGCACTTGACCTTATGTGCATTTCAGCTGAGGTGCAGAGTTGGAAGCTAATCAGCAGTCATCAGTCAAGTATTAATTTCAAATGAATAATGACTAATTTAATAATTTTTTTGCCTTTCTTGACCCTAGCACGTTAGTAATTGTCACAGGAGAAGCTGATGAGAATGCAGACAAATATAAGTCCTTAAAACCTAATACGCTGAGAAGAAATACAACTCGTAGGTCGCTGTACAGAATTACTTGTTTATTGGTTGTACTCATACATTTTCAAAATTACAATATACTTTGTATTGAAAGACTTTCAGATGAATCGCACTGTGTCTAAAGGCAGAAGTAGTCACAGGACGTCACACCTGGAATACAGGGCGACTCTCACCAAGGATGTTTGGCTGTCAGCAATTAGAATTTAATTTGAATTTAAAAGCCAGAGAAAATTTAATAGACATTTTTTTTGTAGTTTAAAATTGCTAAAATAATATTTTATATTTTCTAGATCCGCACTGAAGCAAGTATTCTGTGAGCTCTATGCCCTGTGTGAGAATCACTGTGTATTGCAGGGAGTTGGTCACACTGCAGTTTATTTATTCATTTATTTATTTATTTTGGATAATGTTATACACCTGTGGAGGAACAGCAGACACTATCAACACATTTGTGCTTCTTTTTTTTTTTTGCAAGTTTTTTTTTTTATGTTAAATATCAGTTTTTTTTTTCACAAGAACAGACTAATTTAATTTTGTTACACATTTTGTATACCAACATGCTCACAATGTTTCTGAACCATTTTTTCTTAGTTGTTTTTTGTGCCAGAACAACATACATCACAACAGACACCCTTTTGTTTCAAACAGCATGTGTTGGGTCTACCATGGTGGTATTAGAATAATGTGGTTTCTTTGTGGTTTGTAGGCTCATCAAAGGCAGGAGGGAAATAATAAGGCCTACAGTCATTTACACAAGCTTCACATGACTCTAACTTCAGGAGAGAAATTCACAGTCTGCGATCGAGCACTCCAAAATAAAATATAGACAAACTTAGCATCAGATCACAGTCTGTCTTCCTTTTCATACATCATATATCACAGTTAGCTGAAAACAAAATTGCAGTCACTCTATCAATAAGATTTACATCATCTGTTGTCCATTTGAGCCCAAAGAAGTAAATATCATCCCATGTGCTCTGAATGTGAAAACTGGTCATCTTGATCTACAATACAGCAAATATTTGAATCTTCCTTTATCGTGACACATTTTTTGTGACTGCATTGTGCATGTACTGTAAGATGATATTAACATATGTATCTTTTTCAAATACTTTCTTGCTTGTGCTTCCTTACTGACTTTATACATTGTGCAAAAAAACAGCTGTAGTCTACTTTAGAAGGCCACTGGGTGTCTCAGTATTTGTTTTCAATCTATGTCTATTCAACAGCATTTCTAATCATGTTAAATGTGTCATCATTTCGGTGACTGATCCACCTTGTTGTTGAATCATCTCAAAGTAAACAAACCAACACATTTTTAAAGTGGCAGGCAGAGTCAAGCAAACACAATCCATACAGTTATATCAACTTGCTTTCTTGCTTTTCTTGCCTAAACTGAGCTGAGTAAGACTCACTACCTTCAGAAGAAATACACAAAAAGCAATGGAATTTTTTTTTTTTTTTTTTTTTTTTTTTTTTTTTTTTTTACAGACAGTTCGAAAGTTTCATTGTTCATATGATTCATGTTTTCACCAGTTTATTCCAACGACTGCGCTCCGATCATTTGTCCACATAATATTTGGAGCAGCAAATGAAAACACAATTTATAGGTTAAAGTGGAAAAATCTTGATTCTATATCTTAAGTTGTTGTGTTGTCTTTAGAAAAACTGTAAGTAAAAATCAGTCAGGCGCAAATGTGACCCGCATTTACTGTTTAACTGGTGGGTAATCAAAGTGCTTGTTGTTTGTCACCGGTCAGTGTGTACCTATTGTATGAAGGCTAATTCAACACAAAAACCTTTGGTTCAGACCAAGCAAAGTAACTGGGAATGTAACTCACCTTATCAATGATTTAGTGCAGTCCCTTTTGTCATGTTGCCTCTGTTTTCCAGTGCATGAGATTTGACATTGTGAAGCTCAGCTTTAACTTGAAAGTGTTTACAGGTGTCTTAAATGTAGCCCCTAAGGTCCCTTGATTGAAGTTTGTGGTTCGGTATTTGGTTGCAAATCATTTGTAGCGTTGTGTCCCACTCTGCCAGGCCTGTGCTGCAGCTGTCTTCACTTCAAAACTTCATTAGTCAAAGACATTAATGGCACTGAGGAACAGAACTTGATCAATCAAGAACAATATGGATGTCAACACCTTCAAAAATTGCTTAAAGTCAGCACTTTCATGTTAGGCTTTAATTTCAAATCCACTGTTCTGGAGTACAGAGTCAAAACAACTGCCGTGACACATTCTGGCTGCACTGTACTGTAACAAAAGTTCCAGGTTTACAGTTCACCATTGACTGCCTCTGTGGCGCTGTCAGATAAATGAGACTCCTGCCGTGGAAAGCAACTAGCCTATCGGGTTAAACTAGTAAGTAAATAATATGTTGTAGCTGTATATTTTATTTTCCCTTATTCTTGATTGACCAGTACTCTAAATGATAAAACAAGAATGGCCGCATTCCTTTAGTGTCGGGCTACTGTATCAATAAGACCAGAGTAGCGGCCATGCCTCGTGGAACTGCATGTTATATACAGAGAGTATAATACATAATTCTATTTAGGTATGATTTATGGTGTTTATTTACATGTGACTTGTAGTCCAGATTAACATGTTTTAACTTCAGCTGATAAGATAAATGACAAATAAAAATGTAATATGCCAGCAATGCAGAAACATCATATTCATTGTATTGACATGAAAATTATTGGTCTGTGTCTAGCACCTATTGCAACCATATTACTGTATACTGTACTAAACCATAGCAGACATGGGCACAGATGAATATAACTGGAAATACAGTCTTATGCAAAAGTTTAGGCACCCCTTGATAAATAACAGATTTTGGTGATTTTTTATTTGAACAGATGTTAACACAGTTTCTCTTGGAAATGGAAAAAATGCACAATATTTTCAGCAAACAGTGATGCATAGTTACTTCTTATGCCATAAATTGAACAAAAATAAAAAATAAAAACATTATTATGGCATGGTGCAAAAGTTTGGGCACCCTACACAATCAGTACTTAGTAACACCTCCTCTGGCAGATATCACAGCTTGCAAACGCTTTTCATAGCCAGCTAAAAGTCTTTCAATTCTTGTACTTGGGATCTTCTCCCATTCTTCCTTGCAAAAGGCTTCTAGTTCTGTAATATTCTTTGGTCGTCTTGCATGCACAGCTCTTTTAAGATCTACCCACAAATTTTCAATGATGTTTAAATCAGGGGACTGTGATGGCCATTCCAAAACCTTCAGCCTGCGTCTCTTGAGGTATTCCATAGTGGATTTCGAGGTATGTTTAGGATCATTGTCCTGTTGTAGAAGCCATCCTCTTTTCAGCTTCAGCTTTTTTACAGATGGTGTGATGTTTGCTTCCAGAATTTGCTGGTATTTAGTGGAATCCATTCTTCCCTCCACCCGTGCAATGTTTCCTGTGCCACTGGCTGCAACACAACCCCAGAGCATGATAGATCCACCCCCATGCTTAATAGTTGGCAAGGTGTTCTTTTCATGAAATGCTGCTCCTTTTTTTCTCCAAACATGCCTTTGCTGATTGTGTCCAAAGAGTTCTATTTTAACTTCATCAGTCCACAGCACTTGTTTCCAAAACGCATCGGGCTTCTGTAGATGTCCTGTTGCATACTTCAGACGTTGGATTTTATGATGGGGACGCAGATAAGGTTTTCTTCTGCTGACTCTTCCATGAAGGCCTTGTCTGTGCAAGCATCGCTGCACAGTGGAACGGTGCACCACCACTCCTGAGTCTGCTAAATCTTCCTGCAGGTTTTTTGCAGTCAAATGGGGGTTTTGATTTGTCTTTCTGACCAGCATACGAGCAGTTCTGTCCGAGAGTTTTCTTGGTCTTCCAGATCTCATCTTGACCTCCACAGTTCCCCTGATCTGCCATCTCTTATTTACATTTCTTACTGTGGAAACTGCAAGCTGACAACGCTTTGCTATCTTCTTGTAGCCTTCTCCTGCATTGTGGGCGTCAATAACTTTCATTTTCAGGGTCTTACACAGCTGCTTAGAGGAACCCATGGTTGCTGGGTGTCCACAAGTGTGTGCACAAGGTTTGAAGAGTCAAAGTATTTGTACAGCTTTGAAATTGGCATTTACCAATGACAGCTGTTGCTGTGCATCAGATCTAACGAGCTGATTAAGGTCTGATACCTTGTGAGAGACTTTGAGACTCTGGAACTCTTAGGGTGCCCAAACTTTTGCACCATGCCATAATAATGTTTTTATTTTTTATTTTTGTTCAATTTATGGCATAAGAAGTAACTATGCATCACTGTTTGCAGAAAATATTGTGCATTTTTTCCATTTCCAAGAGAAACTGTGTTAACATCTGTTCAAATAAAAAATCACCAAAATCTGTTATTTATCAAGGGGTGCCTAAACTTTTGCATAAGACTGTACCTTATGACCCTTGAACCTCTTCTCTCACAGGAAATGCATTTTATGGGGAACATAAGGGCATTGGATTATATATCAATTTAAAGGCCTGTCGATACAAAAATAAGTATACTAAAGCATTTGTAATTATCAGTTTTAACATATCATATAAATTACTCTTTGAATAACTATATATTGTGCATATTTTATTATCTGTGTGCTCATAATTAAACTGTATACGTTGTGCTTTTGCAAAAAGCTCTGATTGTTAATAAAGCCCTATGTTCTGCCCACTCAAGCTTCGATATCAAATATATGAGAAGTTCAATAACGTTTCTCTGTGAAAATGCTTTACGCTCCTTTTGTTTTTGTTTCCTTCTACTACCAAGAGAAGTTTCATCTATATACGTCAGTTAATAAATATTTATAACTTAACTGAAATACATCTCTCATCAGAGCTGTCTATCACAATATTCATAAATACCTTGATTTTTTTTTTTTAACCTTAAGCTGTAATCATCAAACATATGTATCTGTATGCAGTCGATTAGCAGTCACCTACTTCAGCTACTTCCTCTTATAGAAACTAAAAAATAAAGCTGCTTATATTTGTTCAACTTATGTCATGCATTTGTTTCTTTTGTTTTGACTGTTATTATTGTTAGAATTTTTTTTAGGCCTTTATTGGCATATACTTCCCTCTTAAAACAGAAATTGTGATGTCAATAACACTACCCGTTTCAATCTGAGAGGAACAATTCATTCAAAGGTTACCATCATAGCTCTAATCAGGAACGTCTTATAATTCCAGCAGCAGTGAATGTTTGTGTGCTTTGCTGTTTTCTGTGCCAATAATTTAATTTGCTTTGTGAAATAATTTATAGATAATTTTGTCATACTATATGATACAGAAAGAGCTTTAAATAAATAACCTTATCAGCTTAAATTGAATTGTGTTCCTGAATTGCACTCTTTCAAAATAACTGTGCCATATTTGTTTGTGTAACCATGCCACAATGCATCCCACTAACTCTGACAGAGCCAGGAGACCATGCAGTATATGAATACACAAATAATGGCTGATTTTCACTGAATACACAAAAAGCTTGTCTTTGACATTAACAGACGCTTCCTTAATAAGTGTAAAGAAGAGCCATATCTATGAGCTCGGTCACCAGACCCTATAATCAATAATTATTGATTATAATGTCAGCAGTCATTGGAAAAAAAGCATCCGTCTGTGTTGACAGAGTGAGCAAAAGTAAAAATCCTGTCCCATTCTCTGTGTCTATTCATATTGAGCATGGCACCAAATGACCTCATTATCAATCCTCTGTATGCTTGTGTGTGGAGTGTTTTTCAGTGCTCTGCTTGTTTTGATAATGTAAATACAGTTAAATGCTGATGATGGGAAAGAGAAAGTGTGTGTATAGGTGTTTTATATTAGGACCGATCTTTATTGAACTAAAGTATTTCCCCATGGCCTGGCCATCAGATCAGTTCCTTCACTCTTCCACTTATCCTTCACACAGTCACCTGGGTATTGCTCTACATTTAGCCAACATGGCAGAAATGACTGCAATGCAGGGCAGTTTGATTCTCTTGGGGTACGTTTGCAATATAACCGATATTAGGAAAGAAAATTAATTGCAGCGCTGAAGAAATTGTACCTCCTCCTGCCTCAGAAGTCCCAAAATGTTGCCTAAAAGTAAAGTAGCCATTTATGCCACCCTGGCAGCAGAGAGCTCTAGGTGTATTTATAGTGAGAGCACTGTCAAGACAGCATGAATTATTAATGGGTCCTGATGCAGATTTATCTGTGACCTCTAGGCCACTGGAGTGCGAACACACACATAAACACACACATTCACATGCTAAATCAGTGTTTTTCTTAGTGGACTTAAACTGTGGCTCCTTTGATGGGTTTTCAGCAAAATGATGATGGGTGACAGTGTGTATAGTCCAGTAACCCTCAGTAAGCTCCGGTGTAGCCATCTGCAGTCCTTCAGTTGGTTGGTTGATTCACAGAGGATGTCTCTCACTCATTTTGATTCACGCTCAGGGATAAGTTATTCAAAGCTCTAAAGCATTCAGCGAGGTACAGCACATACTTACTATACATACAATGGCCCTAAACAACACACACACACACACACACACACACACACACACACACACACACATAGTACATAGGTCAATAAGAGCAACAGTTTTTTTATGCTTCTTTTTAGCTTCCTTGCAGACTTTCAACCCAGCGTAAAGGTGGCGTTTTCCCAGAAACTGGATTCAAATGAGTTTAGTGTTATCTCCATTTTGTTGCAGAAGTCTGGATCAAAAAGCGTAAACTGATCCTTGGCCTCATGTCTGCTTGCTCTGCCCTGTTTTCTGGCTCAGAGGCGGTACTTTCTCAGCAGGTCAGCCTGCCACATATACTTCCTCTCAGGGAACCTCTCTGGGATCTTGATCTTGCGGAAGTCTTGAATGCACTTTTCCAGCTCCTCCTCGACCGTCAGCTTCTCTTTCGCTGGCCTTTTCTTGCACGTGCTGGTGTCACGGGAGCTTGCTGTGAGGGTGCGCAGCAAGTCACTCTTTCGCCGCTGTTCGGACTGTTGGATCATGGTGACTGGGCCCTTTTTGATCGGTCTGTCCAGGGTCTGAACATTGGCGTGGGGGTGCGGCTGGCGGCTTACCGGGCCGCATATGACAGTTCCCTGGGGAGAGCTGGCCTCTGACTGGCTCTCAGAGCTGGAAGTGGAGAGCTCATTGAAGGAGGTGCCACTCTCGCCATCACCCTTGTGGTTCTTGCAGCAGCAGTCACATGGAGGCGAGGACCAACGCGATGGACCACCTGGAAATGAACAAAAGCAGAGAGAGCTGCATTATATTTCACGCAGTCCTATTTTTTCCACTTTTTTTTTCTTTCTGTGCCATTCATAGGGAAAAAATAGACAGTAGCACAAAGAGAAGCACAAATTAGTCAGACAGGAGAAGAAAGGCAAAGTAATAAGCACTGATGGACAAATGAGAAAAGTCAGCTCATACCAAGCGTCTATAACCTAGAACAAAGGGACATGACATGAGGCACAACTTGCTTGCTTCCAGTCTAATCATAGAAGAGTGCTGGCTGACTGTGTGACAAATGTGTATTTTTCAGAGAACCTCCCTCCTAGAACCACACTGCCATATGAAACAAGTGGAAGAGCTTGAAACATTTGAAACTGTACAAGTAGAATTAATTGCAATATTGTTAATGACTAAAAATCAGGAAGACTGTCAAATTTAAGAAAACTATATATGTGCAGCTTGATTTCTCTGAAGCCTGTTGTCTCGGTCACCATCCAACCTAAGTCCAGGTCTTGACTCATTACTTAAAATGAAAACTGTGTTGGATCGATAATAGGTGGTGTTAATCACTGGAGACATAATAGAAGTGCACTCATTTAGGATTGATTTAGTAATTTGCAGGTCAAGACGTGGACATCCAAGTTAAACTGAGCTAAATTTGACTTAACGACATCAAGGCAGTGGTGGAAGAAGTACTCAGATGCTTTACTTAAGTAAAAGTAGCAATACAATAGTGTAAAAGTACTTTCTTACAAGTAAAAGTCCTGCATTCAAAATGTTACTTAGGTAAAAGTATTATTTTCAAAACATACTTAAGGTTCTAGCAGTAAAAGTACTCATTATGCAGAATGGCACATTTAACATTCCTCTGTCATATTATTGTATTGTAATTATTGATTACTAATTACTAATCTGGTTCTAAAAAGTACCTAGTAACTAAAGTTATAAAATGTATGTAGTTGAGTAAAATGTACAATATTTGACTCTAAAATGTAGTGAAGTCAAAGTATGAAGTAACAGAAAATGAAAATTTTCAAGTAAAGTACAGATACCTCAAACTTGTACTTGACTGCAGTACTTCCCACCATTGCACTAAGGTTACTTGTATTCTCTCACCCATACTTATGAATTCAAGCCCCGCCCCTCACCATCTACACTACCACACACACACAAGAAAAAGGCTTTAGCTTCTTCTGTTCATCAAGTTCAATAGCATTTCATTTAGGAGGCTATAAATAACACCTCTTAAAATAAATGCCCTCTCTTTTAATTCACTTTGTCCTCAGCAGCATACTTGGTGTGTTTTTAGAGAAGTAGCAGAAGAGAAATCAGTTCATGCAACCAATATTTGTTTCTCCAAGTACCACTTATAAACAGCTATGACATATCACAGCTACATTTATGAATATAAACATAAGAAACATTTCTTGGATGGCTTTGACACCTACTCCCACAGTTAGTCTGAACAGCAAGAAGACCAACATTCAGTACAGAACTAGTTATGGGAATAAAGCATCACCCATCAAAGGAAGTGACAGAAATGGAATGTTACACACTGTCACCGACACTAGCTCTGGATCTTTAATTACCACTGGCATTTACAACTTCCACAGGCACATACATTGGCTCCAGACAAAGACAGAAAATGCACTATCTAGCGACAGTTGTGTAATTTGACAGTACAAACACAATTAGAAAAAAATGTAATTGTTACACAGTTGCAGGATAGAAAATGTAACCCAACGGCTTTTCTTCCCAACCTTCATCAAATCTGGTTAGGGACACAGGTTTGTTTATGTCACTCTGAGTGAACAGGGGGCCCTCTGTTCGACTCGTAATTGGTGTTTTAAAATATGTCCCCTGACTCTGGTGGATTGTTAAATCTGCCTGTAGCCAATCTGCCTGTCTAAATAAAATTAACATGATAAGACTGGTTAAGCGGCAATAACTTAAGGAGCCTTGATAAGTTTGTATGTATGTGTGTGTGGACTTGCACATACACATTTGATATATGACATTATTATTAAACTTTGGCATTTAGTAATTATATCCACCTCCATTTTACTCTTCATACTTTACATCTTGACAGTGACATGCTGCTTTAATTTACAGGTATTGTGAGCAGCTATTAGCCTCGCTAACACTGAAGTCTACCATGGAGGGATCTGATTTATTATTTTGACCAATTTCCTGTCACACTTTTAGCTTCATGACAAATTGGATGGCAAATAATTCAACTGAGGACACCGTACACAGGCACATTAAAATCCAAGTGAGAATTGTAAAATAAATCACTGAGTGGTGTCTCTCCCCTCATCTACAGTGATTCTGTAATTATAAATATAATTAATTAGTTATAATTGAAGGTCCAAAATTAATTATCGTTATATAGTGTTGATGCGTTGTAGCACATAAAGTCCTGTTGGTAATAAAGCCTGTTTCTTTTGCTAATTAAAGTGAAAAAAGTGAGAATTGGTATTTACTGCACACTGTGTGTTTATACTGTCTTGCTAATTGAGGTCAAATGTAAACCACTGTTTATGTTTAGTCAGGTTTGTTGTTTTTTTTTTCCATTTTCTGTCTGCCTGAACTAATTCTTTAAATAAATTATTCTAGACAAATCACTGAAATTACTTGTATCTTTTTGCATCACACTGAAAGTCACAAAGCAAACTGTTTACCCAGTGCAATTAAAGAGCCTTGCAGTACATGCTGTGCTTAGACATTACTTTTTAAAATGTCATCTAATGCTCTTATAACACACTAATTTCATTTTGAAATAAACAGTACATTGTTTTCCAGCAGTGGTCTAAGGCTGCAAAGTTATCATTTGCCTCAAACCTGACAGCTCAGATAAGTGTGGGTGAATGATGCATTTTGGCAGTGTGCTCTGGAGCTTCAAAATGTACACTGACAGAAGGTTCCATAATGAAAGGTCAAGGATTCAGAGTCTGAAAGGTTATGCTGCATAAATGGTCCCATTTTAATTAAAATGAGGTGGAATGATGCATCTTGTTACTGAGTGCCCCAAAGCATGCCTGCATCCATCACTCCAGCGGACATTTGCAATTGAAGGTGTGCTTGTTCTTCTGCACCTGGACATTTAAACTGCAGGAACTGTGATAAACTGCCATGCATCATGCTGAGCAGTCCACTTAATGGGGCAACACTGTGTCTATGTATTGTGTATATAGAAACAATATTGCCTCAAGATCAAACAATGTCCAATTTCCTGCCATGAACAAATTATACATAATTATTTGAAAAGGACCAGTTCTCTGTCTGGATGCATATTAGCTATTTAAATGCTACCAACTGGACAGTTCTTGTCTGTGTGAGAGAGTAGGCATCTCTCCTGAATGATATAGTCTCTCAAAAATAACCTGAGGTTTATTGTTCATACCGTTAGGAGATGTCTCGGAGAGAGCACGTCCCTATTCCTGTCAATCATACCCACGCATGTCAGTATTTTTGGAAAGATGTAGGATAAATCACAGGAGGCGAGGAGGAGGTGCAGTAGCAAGAATATGTCTGAATTTTAATCAAATAATATTTTTTGTAACTTATGGCACCTTCAACATTTAGATCAGATCTTGGAACCTACTCATTGCCTGTTTGATCAACACATAGCTAAAGAATAAAATTAAAGATGCATGATTTTCTAGAATGTATTTGTCAAATTAGTTTTATTCTTAAATGAGATACAAAATGTTCAAAGGGGTGCTATAGTACAAAAATGATTTGCAAGGAGGAACAAAGGTAATTGTTTAGTAAATGATACAGAGGATAAAAGTTGACAGGGCTGGAAAGTATTTGACCACATCAGGTGATGTTATTCTGTAAAGAGTCCTTATCCCAAATGTTAATAACTGAATAATAAACATCTTGTGATGACAAATAATAACCTCACAAAATGATAATCTACTTAAATTAGACTGTGCATAGTTATGTATGTTATTCGGTAGCTTGTGTTTGGTCAGAGTCCGACAGAGTTCCTGCATTTCTTTTTTTTTAAATGGAAAACAGTAGCATGGGCTGTTTTAAACTCAGATCCTCAGCTTAAAACTGGGCCAAGAAGGAATTCAGAAGCACTTGCTTTAAACCTTGAGGCTTTTAATTAAGAAAACAAACAAAAATATTGTCCTACTGAGCTGCTGATGTGTGAGACTGTAAATTGAGGAAGGCGTTATCAGAAATTAGTGCTTTTCTGCTCCTCCAACCTGTAATACCCTGGATAAACAAGGATTTGGGCTTAACGGATAATGTCAAGTCTGCTATTGACTTTGTTGGCTACATTTGTAATCTGCTTGTGACTTGCATTTCAGAGTATGCTGCTTTTGTTTTGTTTTTGTAAATTAAGTAACAAAAATAATAATAATCACTTTATTTGGCCAAGTATGTTGCACACAAAGAATTTGTTTCCGGTACAGAACCGAGGCAGCCACCTGCGGCGCCAACTCACACCGATGGCTCTAACCATCAGTGTCTTGCCCAAGGACACTTCGACGTGTGGACTGCAGACACTGAGATTTGAACCACCGACCCTCCGGTTGGGAGATGACTACTCTACCCACTGAACGCTTTATATGGGCATTTCTGCATATGTGTAAATTGTGAGGAGATGTAAATATTATCTCTGTGTAAACCTTATATATGGCCTCCTGTGCGCACATGTGAGAGTTCATACTTTTTGTTTGTGGGGGTGTGTGTGATGTAGGCCAATATGTGTGCGTCCCTGCAGCCTACCTTCCTCCACATACAGTATATCGTAAGTTGTAGTGTGGCATGCGTGTGTGTGTGCCTTTGTATTACTTGCATTATGGGGACCAAAACCTGTTAACACACTCGCATTGTGGGGATTTGGCCATCATTGAATTTTAGGATGGCATCATGGTTTAAGTTTAGGTGTTGGGGTCATGATTAACGTCAGGCAAGTAGTGGTTATGGTTAAGGTCAGGATAAGTCTACAGGCAATGAATGTAAGCCAATGTAAAGTCCCCACAA